AAGTCTGGAAAAATTGAATGATGGAGTGGGGTTCAACCCCACTAGCTTTGCTATTATCTCAAAAAATGTGTTTAAAGCTCTTGCAGGTCAGCATGGAAACGTTGAGTATGCCATTCCCCAATGTGTCATACGATATGTTTCAAGCTACATAACAAGTTGATTAGCAGAGATCTTTCAAGCACTTCTTATGACGCATCACACTCGTGTGTTCCGCTAGACAAGGTAGCAGCTGGGGCTCATAAAAAGGCGGGGGGAGGGGGTGGTTATTTCAAACTCGTGACGAGATCAATCTTAGCCCCCTGTTTTTCCTTCCCTTGCGTATGCCATTGTTCTAATTAGGGTTGTTACGATGGAAATGTGAGAAGCATCGATACTTAAGCAAAATATTACTGGCGTTGATCAACGGTGAAGGAAGAAGGGAGGCGTCCCGACAGACGACGGCAGGCCAGGCACAATTCCTAGTGGATTTTGCGCCGTACTGCAGTCTCGTGCCAGGAGGGAGGGGCTTGAGGCCGGAAGCCAGCGCAGCGGATAGTAGAGAGTGGCGCTTGAGGCATTTTCTTTTCCTCCCTTGCACCGCTCTCGCAGCCTCATTCCCATACCGCCCCTTTACCTAAGCATCTCTATATTGCTGTCCTATTCTGCTCCTTTGACAAAATTCCTATTCGTATTGATTCCATTCCCGTACTGCTCCAATTTCCAGAGCGTCTCTGCATTCCATAATTTGACAAATCTTATTGCACGATCAATACCTGTATTCTTAAACTCAAATCTCAAATAATAGCACCAAATGAAAAGTGCTAACAGGACTTCCCACATGTTTCCAAAATTGCCATGCTTCATTCCCATTCCGCTCTGCTCCAATGGGATTAATTCCTATTCCTGCCTCTTCAGTACTCCCTGGGCGACGCCGGTTTTGCCCCCGCGGGACGTATGGGAGTGGGAGTCCCGCGCCCTCTCTATCCCATACGGGAATTAAAAAAAAAAGCCGGCCTCTGCGGAATGACTTGTGTCGTCTCGTCTCAGGTGTCCTGTCTCATTTTTCTCTTGCGCGCTCACTTTCAGGGCTTTGGTATCTCTAAATAACCTGCGCATTATATACGCATCAGCAAATCGTGATTCTGGCTCTTCATTTCTCAGTGGACTAATGCATTGCGATGCTTGATAAAACTGCCGATGATGACCGACATATCGACGTGTTGTGTTAGTCATCATTTTAATCCCCCACAAGAACAGTTCTTTATTTGTACGATGATTTTGGATTGAATTCGTACGCCCCTCTTCCCTCCGCGTGGGAACGCAGGAACGAATTCATTGCAGATTTTTTACGTTACCACTTGCCTGTATTTGTATTCTACTAGCGCTTTCTCCGTTCTTTGCCCGGGGGAGGGGAAGGGGTGTATGAATTCATTCTGAAAACTCTTAGTTTCTCTCCTGGTGTTTTTCACTTAACTCTTGTTCATGGGATGTTCGTCATGCACAGATGTCTGAGTCGAGTGAAAACGTGTCGAGTGAACACCGTCCAATGGGCCAGTCTCCGTCCAGAGGTCCAATTTAATAGAACAATAGAGACCTTTGGCACATCGTTTACAAAGTATGGGGGAATAGGAATTTCAACCCCCCCCCCCCTCCTCTCTACGTATTCATCAGCTCTTTTGGCAAGCCGGGATGGGAGGGGCGTTGTAGTGAGCGAGTCTCTATTTGAGGATCTCTCATCTAACGAAGCAACAAATGAATCAGTTCTGAGGTTGAGGCAGCTGCGTCGGCTGACCACCTGGCCCCCCTGTTTGTGCGCATATGATGTAGACCTTTAAAAAGTACCTCCCGTAATTATGTACCAAGTGATGGGCTTATACTGTTGAGCGACCCGATGTCCTTGTTTTATCGAGACAGTCCCGGTTTGAATTTTCCTTTCCATTCTGGTGTCCCGGATTTCTCACATTGCTAGGATTAACATTTGGACATTTTCTTGAAAATTTCCCATTTTTTCTGAAAAAAATCTGATCACCCAACTATACTGCCATGCGCTTGAAAAGTCAAGGGATGGAAAAATGCGCCTAGATATTATTACAACATGTTAATCTAGGGTGCTTCATGAAGAGCACCTGCCTTTGTAATAAAATGAGAGAATGAAAATTTAAATTAAAAAAAAATCAGGCTTATTTACAGGCTAAGGCAAATTCTTCTTAAAAATTAAGAATTTTATGTTGGCCTAATGTTATCAGAGTTCCATATTCCTTACTTTCATATTTCTCCCAGTAAGGCCTTGCCCATGCCAGTAAGTTTTCTTGCATAGAAGCTGAAAGAATACTCCAAAAGGAAGATTTTCAAAATAAAATTTTCGAATAAATATCCCAGAACATAGAAATATTGCACATAAAACTTTCAAAGATGTCCTTATCATGAAAGTTTTCTTAGAGAGATGATTTGCTAGGAAAAATTGCATAGAATACTTTTTTGTGTGTGAATGAGGCCTAAGAAACCCTGAAGCAGCCAGGGTAACCTATACTATAGGTAACCTTAGGTTTTGAGTTGTTGAAAAGTTCATAGTCCTACCCAAGAGTGCCTTTTTTGTAGAACCAATTAAGTATAATCTCTCAACATAATCAACATGCACATTGATACACTTTTTCAATATTCTCCAGGAGCTCAGGATTCTGCTCAAATAAAAGTCCATTTAACAAGAAAGAAACATCCTTGCTTGCTATCTCCAAGCCCTTGAGGCCACAAACCTTTGGAATCCCCCTTTATAGGAAAGCAATGAGAGAAGACCTAAGATCAACCTTGAGCCACAAATTAATGCAACTCTGCTTGGGAGAAGATAGTCTCAATAAAATTAAGAGGAGGAAATCAGATTCTCCTCCATGGGCATATTGTGAACAAATGTCATAAGCCCATGCTATCAAAAATGTTATCATCTCTGTATTTTATCCATCCTTGCAAACACTTTTTGGAAGCATCAAGAAATAATGGGCCTGAGTAAGAGAGGAAGGACAGTAATTCCTCCTACTCACTGTTACTATCTATTGCTCCCAAAAAATAATGGAAATGGACCCCCTCAACCTCGTATAGTTTTTTTTATTGTTTTAAAAATAGAACATCTAAAGGTCCTGAAGTGGGAACTCATTGGCATGCATGGTTAGAGCCACAAGTAGTCCCATTTTCAACCCTTTTCAGTCTGTATATTTGGGTGTGCAACATAGCTCCATTGGCCAATTTATTTATTCATATGTTTAATGTTTCTTATACTGGGTTTTCACATTTATGTGCAGTTCTTTTGTTGAAGTTACCAGGTCTATGTTCCATGCATGATGCAATAATCAGCAAATTTAAAAGGAATTTGATTCTTATGAAATGGAACAGTAATAGTTAAAAATATTCTACCATCCTTTCTAGAAGGTTAGGCTTATGAGTAGTTGCATCATGTTAGCTGGCAACTTATTGTATTCTGTACTTATTTCCTCCAAGTAATGTATCACCACTCATTTACCTACCTACCTCTCATGTTTGCCTTAGTTTATTTTTTGCTTTCCCAAGGTTCATGTGTTTTCAAGCAATGCACTTGGAAAATGAATCTTGAAAGTGAAAAAGTGAAAATGAAGTGATAAATGTTTGCAGTTTATTGTATCTAGTTAAAATATTAGTTGTACTTAGTCTGCTGAATAATTCCTTTAAAAATTCTTAATTTTCTATTTCAGGGTGCCTGATAAGTCACTCACCTTAATTTTTAAAATTACCAGTGATAAATAGCAGTAATTTGTGACTGAAAAGTGGGATTGGTTTTTAGGATTTTCTGCTAAAGCATTGCAATGGCCAATCAGTTACCACTTCTTGATTGAGCTAAGATTGCCCAGATTGGTTGCCTGTGATCAACGAGTGCTGGTGGAGAATAGAGAAAGGGCTGAATGTGACAATTTCTACCCCAGTCATTCAAATGATTCACTCAAAGCAGATTATTGCTGGTAGTGTAGTATGTTCTGGGTACCCTGAAACTGTGAAATTGATTACTATTATTTTGGTAAATAAAATGTTCATTTAGAGGCTAAATAAGTGTCTTCATTAGGGATCTTGTGAAAGTGGCTCAACATGCCATGGAAGGAGTTGAATAATAAAATTAGAATAAATATGAAATACAATCATATCTCTACTTCCTTCAGAATAAAATTGATAACGCTTTGCCTTTATATTCAGGCTTTTGCTTCAGAATTTTCCAGAAGTCCAAATAGATCTTTCACAATTTTATTCTTTGGACAAGTTCGGACATAACGTTCTTCAAAATGATACCAAATACATATATTTAAAAATTTTATTTAGAAAATGATGCTGAAATAAATTTTGTATTTATGCACAAAAACTTTCATTACAACCTAGTATTACTCCACCCTATGATTTTCAATGTAAGAGGGAAACATGGATATTATGAAGAGATAGTTTGCAAACAGATGATTGTTTAAAGGACAATCTATTGAGCCCTATGGAAGGTGTGTTATTTAACTTTTTGGTTGTCTACTTTGGTACAAATGGGGATAACTTTTAAAACCTGTTATCAGATAGGCAAATTGGGAGGAAAATTTATTATCTATCAAAGTGTCTACAGGAAATGCATCTAAAAATCTTTTACAACTGTTACACATATGCTCATAATATATATTCACTCAAAAAAAAAAGCATTGCTGAAATATGATTATTTTGTAAGTACAGTTCAATGAAGTTAAGACACATTGCTATTAATTTCAAGTAGGGTGGAGTGAACTGAAGTGTTTGACACCATTTTGGTCTTGAAAATGCACGATCTGTAACCACTTATGCATGATTTGAAGTCTTACATAACAACCCAGTACAATGCCTATGGATACCATTCTTCCAATGAAACATGGAGCAATGTTGCATGTTGCTGTTTTCAATTTAAAAAAAGCCAAGTTCTTGTCAATGGGTAGGCAGTCCTTGTAGTGCAGCAAAGCTGTCACGGATGCCAAGACTCTTAGAGGTGGATTGCAATAATGCTATTGGGAGATTGGATGCTGGTGAATCCCATTCATCAGTTGGAAGAAATTTTACCAGAGTACTATCTCGAGGTAATGAGACCAGATCCAGATGTGGTTCAACACAGGACTGTTCATGCTCTGGCAGATCATGCATCATCACCCTTGTGCAATATCTGCATATTTAAGCAAGACATCTATGGGATCAGTTTGCTACAGCAACCTCTACAGCATCAGCAGTGCCTGGAGGGCAGAAAATGTAGGCTTAAACCATTTGCAAACTACTTAATGGCAGCAGGTTTGAGATAATGACAATCACTTTGTGGGTTTGTACTGTAAGACCAGAGCAGGTGACTTTGTTTACAGTGGTGTCACTGGCACAGGGTATGGTGTCAAATGCATTGAAGAACAGTCATATTCAGTGTTAAGTCCAGGTTTCTTCCAAGAGGTGCTGATGATTGCAATGGGACTACACACTGCCATTGTGTTTGTTTATTGAGTGAGTCTAGTTTCATCAAATTAAAATGTATCACTGGGCCTATGTGTATTCAGGAAATATTATTCCAGAAATTTACTAACAAAAGATGGTTTAGCTTTTGTTAGTAAATTGTGAAAGTGTCATCACAGTTTTCTCCTGTGCATGAATGCCAGCAATTCCATTATTAGATTTTCCTTCCTCATGTATTTTGTGTTTAGGCAACTCAACTTCCTGCATCTTCCTATACATTACGAGCCTGTGTAAATATTTCAACTGGACAATTATAAGTTTACTTTTGCATTTAAGCAACATGATTATGAAATTATCCTGAAGATGTATTCCCTGAACATGAAAGCTTACAAATATTTCAGCATTTGCATAATATTGCAATATGGGAATTTTCTTTCAAGGAAATTATATTACTGCAGTTTTGATTTTAACTTGCTGATTGCCATGGGATGCATTGATCTGTTATATTCACCATAGGGAAGAACAGTGGTTCCAAACCCCTTGGCAGTCAATGTGTTAAACTGTTGCTATCTCTATTCAAGGTGGTGTGTGTTGAGAATCTTGACTTGTTAAAAGTGAGATATTGTTCCTATGTGACTGGTGCTTACTAAATTTAGGTATTGAAAAAAAGGTCTTTTGATGATGGAATTTCATCTAATTAGACTTATGTTAGTAAGACTATAGTTATGCTTCGTAAATGATAAACAACTGTCGTTAATTTTAGTATTTTTTATATATATATATTTTAATTTTAGTGTTTTTTTTATATATATTTTAATTTTAGTATTTTTTAAATATATTTTTTCACCATCCATTTTTCATTTTATACAGATGGATAATCCAGATAGAAATCCTGGGACATCTCTTGATGAAGACATAGAAAAACTGTTTGAAATCCCTGAATATCAGAGATTCCCCTTCTCTGCAACAGCAACAAGCCCTTCAGAGCTCTCTCACTTGACTTCAAAGCAACATGAAGAGAGAATACCTGTACATGATGAGGATGTTGTTTGTAAGTGGACTGTTACTCAATATCTTGATGATTTTTCTTTTTACCCTGATAAAACTCACATTCACTGACATCTGGGTGGTGCTTTGAAGATAGATATAAATATTTGCAAAATGCCACCATTGCACCACAGAACAATAGGGCAGATGCCATGAACATCTGGAAAATATATAATGGCAGAATTCAAGCAGAGTCTGATTCCCTCTAATTATATTTCTCCTCAAGTGATAATGTTTCCATCCAAAAAATTGATGCCATGCACAGCTGTTTTTTAAATTGTTATTCAGGCACCTTGGATTGCATCATATCAGGTCACTGCATTGAGAAGCATTTCATATGAAGGGAGTTCAAAAAGTTTGTAGAAGGAGGCACTTCCAGTTGCAACACACAATTCTTACTCTTCTCATGAGAAGACAGATGTCTTTGATGTTGACTCACAGTGTCACAATTTTTGTCCATTAAAGTCTTATTCTTTGATTCTTAGTGTTGATTCTGGGCAAAAATATCCAAGGGCAGCAGAAAATGCCCCAACTTCTGAACTCAGATGCAGAACAGAGACCAAATCCAAATGCCAAATTATTGTCAAAAACTTGCAGAATTGGGGTAGAGCTTAAGAAAGTTAAAAAGAGAAAGGATAGCAAAGGATCCTATCCCAGAAAATTTTCAGGCAGCCTGTGTCTTCAGGCTTCAACTATTTACATCTGCAGCCATAGCACCTTATAGCAGAAACTTTCTGGATAGGGTTTGTTAGTCAGACTTGTGAGAATTTACTATGGGGCCAGTCCCATCCAAACCATTCTAGGTGACGGGGGAAAAAAAAAACGCTCCAGAACCATGCCTGATGAGTGATTGGCTAGACTATGAGAAGTTTTCTTCTCTGTCCTTCCTCATTTAGCTTTCTTCAGTGTTGCCCCTTTTCTGCTGGCTAACTTCCCATAGTCTTACGGCTAACCTCCCCCAAGATTCCAAATAATATGTAATGGAAAACAAAGTTTTAGTGGTACATGGAAATTCTTAGAACTCAACATTTGCATGGAGCTTGATTTTGAGGCTTGTGGGAACCAATTCAAGACAAGAGTGCAAAATTGCCTTCATCCTCTCAGATGGCCACCTATTTTTTTAATTAATTAAATATGGTTACACTCTATAATTTCAAATTATTTTTCTCTAAGTTTTCATGGAGTCCAAACCAACTGTGCACTGGTATAAGTCTCTTCATAGATCTGCAGAGAATCATATCTGAACTTGTCCTTTGGGAATGTTGTACCTTGGCATTTTTGGGGAAATACAAGCAAGTATCACAAAAGATTTCAGAGGCACTTTCTTTGAATGAGCATTTCTAACACTAAGAGTGAGGATTCACCATGGGTCTGTGCACACTATTGTCTAAGAATGTCTCCAGTACCATTTGGTGTGTACCAAACTGGTACAGGGAACCTGACTTTGGATCAGAAGAATGTCCTCATGGGTCCTGTCTCACACATCTGCACCATGACCACACTGAAGGGGACAGCTTTTTGGCTGGAATTGTGGCATGTGTGAAACCATGCTTAATTTTCAAAGAATGGCTGACTTTGCACTACTGCTACCCTGTGTCAGGAACATCACATCTTGCACAACTGAGAAGGAAAAACTTAATTTTAATTGTTGGTTAAGAGAAGAAAAGCTTCACAGAAATGATTATTATAATATAAATAAAGGAAATAAAGGAAAATAAAGGAAAAGCTCTTATTATACATTTTATAAATGAAGTCTTTCAATTCCCTTTTTTGATTTCATTGGATATATTTTTTGCCTTTACAGAATTTCTTTCTTTCTGTGACCTATAAGAATGCACATTTCATTTTACAGTCCATCGCACTGAAACATATCCAACAATGCATGCCCCACTTGGTGGAGCAGGGAAACATCAACGATTACGATCAAAGTCAAGAAGTATTCTGAATATACGAGGACGTGGAGAGTCTAGCGAGTCTGTGCACTTCACTGTAGGTACTCCAGTAGCAGACACTGATTCTGCAGGGAGTGGCTGTGTCTTCATTCAGGTGAATGTTATAATCTGTACCTTGCGTGTTTGTACCATACCTCTCATAGGATATGCATGCCTGGGTATGTTGCATACCTTTCACTTCCTATTTTTTGCAAGTTATGTTTGTATGCATCCCTCAGAAACTTGACTGGAGTTCCATGGAGTACCATAGACAGTTTGTTTGCCAAGTCCATGTCAATATCCCAATTGATGAAATTGATTTCACTGCTTATCAGATGAATGAAGAAAGATTATACCTATTGATGGTACCAATTAGTTGTAATGAGTGGGCTCATTCTTTCTTATCCCTTTTAGAATGCTTAAATATCAGGTTGTCCAATAGGTCCATGCAACTGAACCCAAACTGTGTGGGTGAAACATTTAGTTTACACCATCATGTAGTGTGCATGCATGTTTACCATGGTTCATTCCTTTTTGGCCTGATTGCATCATTTCCTTTGTACAGAAAAATTAGCTTTCACAACCATGTCTGCCTATGTTTCAGAAATGTTGAACATTGAACAGTCCAAGTTTTTTTACCTGAAAAGGGCTGAATGCCACTGAAATCATTAAGGAGCTGGAACATATTTATAAGGACTCTCCTCCATCATACTGCGCCATTGCTTAGAAGATGCACTCCAAAGTGACCATCCATTGACAACAACCACCAATCAAAACATTGAAGCTATGGAATGTGTTGTGATGCTTGATCGACAAATCTTGGTGTGCTGTGTTGCCAACAAATTGGACATTCCAGAAACCATGGTCTACAAGATCAAGAGCAATCACATGGGCATAGGCAAGGTCTGCACATGTTGGGTGGACATGGTTGTGAAACTAATTTTTTTGTACAAAGGAAATGAAATCAGCCTAAAATGGGGTGAACCCTGGAAAAAATGCATGCTCTACATCATGGTGTAAACAAAATGTTTCATGAACACAGTTCAGGTTCAGTTGCACTGACTTTCTAGGTAACCTGATATGTCCCATTTTGCCAGAAATGCAATGTCTTGATTAAAGTCCATAATAATATTCAGCTTGTGATGTACTAGTACACTGCACATTTACAGCCAAAAAAGTCTTGCCTGCAAGCTGAAACACAATTTCCAAGTCTGTACTGGGAATATTGCACGAGAATCACTTTTCTCCATTTCCCTGCTGTTGTTGCTTCTGGGATGTAGGAGGATTAAAATGTGTTCATTGAGGTCCTGAGTTTTCCTATTTTTCCTCTGCATGCAACATGCCAGGAAAACTGTGAACAGGTATACTTATGAAGTGCCTTATGATGATCATCAAGGCTCTTATGTTCATCTGCAAGTTCATGAAAGAAGACATCCAGTAATTAGCTGAACATCACCTTCTAGAGATCTTGGTTATGCTGTCAAGATTAAGTGCAATCTCTCTGATCCTGGAAAAATGTTCCACATCTATGAATTTGAGACCTGAAGAAACAAAGTTGGTGACAGCCCTGGATAGATGTCTTTGACAAGGACTGCATTCCAAGACATCTTTGTGCATTGCATGCTTGCAAAGAAGCTGTGATATTTTCCAAGTTGTGTGATAGACTCCAAGCTGAGTTATTATTTTTTTATATCCAGGAAGGAGGGGACATATTGGACAACATTTTCAAGACGTATTGAATGAAATGTAAGAGTGTTTGAACTCAAAGATTCATCTTTCAATTGATCATTCAAAAGCTCATGTAGAAAGTTAAGCAATGAAGCCTGCTAAGCCGTAGGAAACCAGATCATTCAGCTTCTGGGACATTTTTAGGAACATTTCATTGTAGTTAAAATGAGAAATTCAAACAGAAAATGTCAAAGAGGAAAATTTGTCAAAAGTTCAGCTTGTGGAATAAACATTGTAATCTTCTGCTATAAGTGTCTAAACTGCTGTAAACTGCTCCATATTGGCCATTCATCAACTGCATGTTCAGGTAGTTTCATGAGGGAGTTGCAGGAATATCCATCTTCATATTAGAGGAGAATTTCTGAAATGGTTGCATGGAAATTATGATCTGTACTTTTGAGGCAGTCCTGGTATTAAAGTGAAATGAAATCCAACAGATTCATGACACTTTGAAGTGTCAGTTGTCTTATTCCATTTTTAGTCTTCATTGCGGAGTCATGAAGACATATTCTATTTTCTAAATTCTATTGAGGAACAAACAGGAAGGAACAAAGAAGCAGATGTAGTGGTTGTAGTATGCATTTCAGTACATTTCACTTCATGAAAGACATAATTAAAAATATGAAATTGTAAAATGACAAAATGAGTTGTACAGGGTGATTCCAAAGCAAACTCCCTATTTTCAAAGTGATAACTTCTACTCAATATGGCTAGAAAATTAATTTTTATGTCATTCAAATGATAATTTTATGCCATTAAATTTCAACGTTACCTCCTGCATTTTCCACAAATTTTTTCAAGTGCAACACCACATTCTCTATTGCAAAAGAAGTTCTTGTATGACATTGGATAGATTGGCAAGTGAGAAGCAATGGAGTGATATGCCAGAAACCCAAATCTAATCCCATGAGTTTTTCTTAATGGAATGGACCTAAAAGTAAGTGTATGAAAAAATTCACATCATCTCAAACAACTGGAAGGAAAGACATGTGAAGGGTTCAATAAATGTCCACAGAGTTTTTGTGCAATTTTGGAAATGTGACATTGAGCTTAAAATGTTCAGAAAATGCAGGAGTTTATGTTGAAATTTAATGGCCTAAAATTATATTTTGAATGGCATAAAATAATTGTATATATATATATATATATATATATATATATATATATATATAAATAACACCTTGAATGAGTGCTGTTTCACTGCCCATTCGGGTAATTGCTAATTTGGCCAACTACTTTTTATACTTACGTTCTTTACTGACATATAAAGTTTTTACAGTTCAGCAAGTGTTTAATCCCCAAAATAATTGTGTCTGGGCCAGAAAAGGGTCCAGAGTCTTGTCAGAATCTTGGTTTGTGCAAAGAATGCAAAAACCCCAGTCTGTCATGGTCTGGGGTGGCATTACAGCTGACGGTAAAACACCCTTGCATTTTGTGGCTCCTAACATCAAAATCAATGCCAATTACTATCAAAATGAA